GTTGTTTTAAGTCATCAAAATTTGTGGTGCTGGATTACAGCAGTCCAGGAAAACACACAGGGCTTCAGAATTAGAAATGGTATCTATATACCGGAAGGAAGTTGATTCATAAGACAAAACTTTAGATACATGACTTAAAATGTATCTTGCCCTCCTAACATTACAAAGACATATATTATACTTCATTTAATATGAGGGAACACCAAAATGCTTATGGAAACATAGACTTAAAGTATGAGTTTATCTTGGCACAAAATATTTTGAAATTCAGGCATAATTTCTTTGCAGTAGCATTTTCCATAAACTTTTTGAGGATCACCCCCTCCCCAGGTAAGTCTCTCTCTTGTTTTCTTTCTTCTCTCTCTCTCTCAGTCAAACTGAATAAAAGAAACTTAAAAAAAAAAAAAAGACTTTAAGCTATGTAAGTATAAATTTAACCAATGAAAGAAGAAATTGCAGACAGGAGCCAACAGGTGGCGTAGTAGTTAAGGCACTGCACTTCCACGTGGCTGACCGCAGTTTGAGCCCAGACCCAGAGGCCTGAAACTCAAGCCATGCATGTGTGCATGTCCAAAAATCTCAAGAGAAGCGTGGAGGAGAAGGGACTGCAGTATGGCCATTCCCCTTGGGAGGTGATTTCTCACTTTATGCCTCTCTTTCTCTTTCTGTCTCTTGGGCTAGCACATGTGTCTTTCAGCAAAAATCTCTCTGAGGGGGAAAAAAAAATTACTGATAACAGAATGTTAGGCCAATATATGATATAAAATATTCTGAACACTAAAGACTAATAGGAATGGCTCTGATAAAAGCAACTGCTGGCAAAAGTTGGTTTTTATCAAATGATGTGAACATCTACACTGTCTCAGTTGAGGTGTGTTACTGTATCCCTGTTCCAATTTTCAGGTCTACCTTGGTAAAGCCATTTATTCCTGTCACTCAGGGGCAATAATAGCACGGAGTTCCACTGAGTTTACTGAGCAAACTAGAACTGTATTTGATGATTGCACCTATCCACATAACTTTTAAAAAAATAATTTTGCCATGCCGTTGCAAGACAGACAGAAAGGAAAGTAAAAAGGCACCTCCCCTCAGGTGGATGGTCATGCTGCAATCTCTCCTCCTCCATCTCTCCTTTTGAGAATTTAAGAACACACATACACGCTCAATACGCTTTTCCTAAGCTTCGAGGTCCAGAACTCTAAAGAGCTATATAGTCAGCCGTGTGGGCTCTAGCCTCCTTAACCACCACGTCACCTGGCTGGCCCAAAACACTGGCTTACTACTTTAAGAAAAACTTGTTATATTTTTCTTTGCATCTTTCTTACTCTCCCTTCCATTTTCCTTTCTAATATTTAATGGGTAATTACTATATCCCAGTTAGTCCTATAGGAAACTGATCATTCAGTTACTGACTACCATGTAAAGAGTAACTGCAGGGCGTGGTTACGTGCTTTAGAGACAGGCTGTCCACAGTCAGCGAAAGCAGCTGGAGTCTGTCGGAACAATGCAGACCAGAGGTAAAGATGGTTTGCACCAAGTAAGGCAACTACCTTTGGGACAGATGTGAGAGCTTGTCCTGAGGATCCTCACAGCAGTGGCATTCAAACTGTGAAAAGGGAGTCTATTGCAATTACTCACTTTCAGCAAGTGTTTTTCCATTTTAATATGAAAAATGTAAATATGTGGACTTTTTAATTAAAGATTTTTTTTCTGAAACTTTTTTTTTTGACTGCTGCTTTATTCTTCTGTCAGCAGCTGCTATATTCTGGAAGACTAGCAAAGAAAAAAAAACAAATTGGAAGCAAAGGTGAAGAGGAAACAGACAGAAAATAAAATCCAAAACTGTTATGTATTTTTGAGAAGGGGGGGGACCCCCATGAATGTGATATTAGCATAGTCAACGAGCAAAACTTTTATTGGGTCTGATGCAGATTATAACAGGATTACGTTTAGTGTTAGTGGCAGAAAGTCAAAATAACAATGGCTTTCTCAAAGAATCATTTTATTTCTCTCTCAAGAAAAAAAAAAGTTTTGCAAAGCGGATATGAAGCAGGCATCTTTTATCATGTTGATTTTTCTTCAAAGAGTCTATGTGGTGTTCTACAATGACCTCTCTATCATATTACATTAGCCAGTAGAAAAGATAAAAAGCAAAGGAGAACATTATCTTCATGTAAGAACTCTTCCTGGAAGTTGCATGTGCTACCTTTAATTAGAATACTATTGGCCAACATATATCTAGCCATAAGGAAAAGTTGGAAAATGTCGTTATTCCCAGTAGCTAAGTGTCCAGTTGAGAATTAGGGATTCAAGTATCAAGAAGGAAGGGAAAACAAATTGTTCATTATCTTGGTTTGCCTTTCTGTGGCTGATAACAGAGGACCAGAGACTAGGTAATTTATAAAAAGTAGAGTAGCTCGTGGTTTTGAAGGTCCAAGGTGAAGAGGCCACATCTGGTAAGGGTCTTCTTGTTGGAGCAGGCCGACCACAAAGTCCTGTGTAGGACACCATTTGGTGAAGATAGTGAAAGCGAGTGTGTTGGTGGCCGTGCGTGCCACGGTCTCGCTACCTCTCCTCATACATCAGAAGTATGTAATCACAGGGTCCCATCCTGATGACCTCATGTAATCCAACCATCTCCCAAAGTTATACTTCTGAACATCGTAATCTGATGAACTTTCTACCCTCCAATACTATGACAGCCAAATTTCAACATAAGAATTCTAAGGGACACATTCAAATTATAGAGGTAGACATTTAACAGTCTCTGCTACATAGGTTTTTGTTAGCATTTTAGCTATAAAGTTAGAAAAGACATCAGCCTAACTCAATTTCTGAGTGAAGGAAATTAATCAATTTTATAACATTAAAAATTAATCAGTTTAGGGCCTAGCAGGTGGCATGGTGGTTAAGCTGTATTCTCACATGGCCAACCACGGTTCAAGTTCAGCACCCAGCAGCTTGAAAAGTTACACTCAGCATGTGTGTGTGTGCCCAAAATCCCGAGAGGAAAATGGAAGAGAGGGGATTATAGTATGGCCATCCTACCTTGGGGTGATTTCTTCTTCTCTCTCT